CTCAGTGATAGCAATATGATTACATATGCTTTATTTTTGAAAAATTTTAGCATTTTGTAATACAGTGATTCAGAAACTGATTTTAGGTTCAGTTTGATGCTTGTTTTAACTACTATTGTAGGTAAAAAGGATAACTTTGGTAGTTTCAAATGGAAAATTTTCTTTTGTAAATCATGATGCTTAGTTTGAAATGCCTTTCAGAAATTATACAAAGGGTTTTGCTGAAATTTGACTACTATTCTTCAAGTCAATCAGTATTTTCTTAAATACTAATGATTTTTAACAAACAAGTTAAAAATTCATTAAAATCCTCCAGTTGAAAGATTTTTCAACAGAAAATTCTGGTCTAAGTTTTTTTTTTTTTTTTGAGACAGAGTCTCACTTTGTTGCCCAGGCTAGAGTGAGTGCCATGGCGTCAGCCTAGCTCACAGCAACCTCAAACTCCTGGGCTCAAGCAATCCTCCTGCCTCAGCCTCCCGAGTAGCTGGGACTACAGGCATGTGCCACCATGCCCGGCTAATTTTTTCTATATATATTAGTTGGCCAATTAATTTCTTTCTATTTATAGTAGAGACAGGGTCTCGCTCTTGCTCAGGCTGGTTTCTGACCTTGAGCAATCAGCCCGCCTCGGCCTCCCAGAGTGCTAGGATTACAGGCGTGAGCCACCATGCCTGGCCTGGTCTAAGTTTTTTAATGGTATAAATACAAGCATTATACAGGTGACATACTGACTATTGGTAACAACAGTCATGTAATAATGCAAACATTTCCAAACATTTGTTTTAAATGATTTTCTCCATAAAAACTTTCTATTGAAAACAGTAACTTTTTCATTGTTATAATTGTCCCCTTTATGTTATATGGGCAAACTTAAGAGTATTTATTTTTTCAAAAACATCAGGGCTTACCACAGAAAAGAATGGCAAATTAATGCTAACTGTCTTTTTATAAAAGAAAAGTGTGTAACATCTTTAAAATGTACACCTTTTTAAAGTGCTTTACCGTGAGATAACCAGTGAAAGTGTAATAAGAAATACGATTATCTCATTTCAAAGTATTGTAAAGATTTTACTGTATTTTAAAGACTGTGTTTTTACAAAATGTACCATATTGAAGACCATTTACATTTTTGTCTCAATTTGCTGCAGTAACTTGCATATGAATGAATTTGACAGGTGGTGTTCTATAACTTTGGAATATGCATTTCATTCAAAATAAGACAGATGTTCCATTGTGCTTCCATTTATATAGATGTCCATGAAATCCTATTTCAATTAAAGATTTATTATTGAGACTGTATCTTCTCTGGTATACCTTTCCTTTCCTGGCACTGTTTGAAAAAGCCTTTAACTACCTAAGAAGGTGTCAACACTAGATAGTAATGCAAGGCCTTCCTCTTGTACAATAAATACCAGAAAAGTGGACTAGTACAAATTTTCAGTATTGCAGGAAAAGGAACTAAGTTTATTATGGATTGAGATAGTTAGCGGAGGCTTCTCAGGGAAAGTGGGACCGTGGAAAGATAGGATTTAGATAGATTTGTGGAGGTTGTAGGAGGAGAAAAACAGTGACAGGAGAAAGCATAGGTAAGAAAATACAAGGTGAATTTAGGAGCTGTGGAAGAAACCAGGCTGGAGAAAAGGATTCATGATGTGCTATAGGTGATTGAATAGGTAAGTCCAGAGATCCTTAAATGTGAAGGCATTTAAGGCATGAAATGTAAGGCATGAAGACTTTCACCCTATGAACACTGATGCACAGCTCCAAGACACTTGTTATAGTGGCCATCTCTAAAATGGCAACTCATTCAGGGAAGAGAAATCTTGGAATAAACATTAAGCCCACTCACTCCATAGTGGATTTTGAAAGAAGAGTGAGGGAAAGAGTTGTACTTTCTCTCTTTAGCAAAGACTCAACATTGAATGGAAGTATCAGAGGAGATTATGTTCAGCACAGTGCAGTGTGGGTATCAATATTAGATGACTTAATAAAGGATTAAGTTAATATACAGGCCCAACTTAGGTAAATATTCTAAAATATATATAATGTGTGTATATATACTTCAGGAGAGAATAAGTTGTGAATTCTAGAGTGATTTACATGCTTCCTTATTTACTTTGGAAGGGTTAAATTGGAGATCATCCAAAACAGCTGTATATTATTAAATATTTAAGGAAAGAGAACCCCCCAAATACTTTCAAATCAATTTGTTCTCTTTCATCCTGTGTCTCCTTAAATACACCAGATAAAATCTTTGATCTCTATTTCCAATCCAGAGCTATTTCCTATAGGAGTGGTCTCCAAAATATGTTGTACTTGACCCAAAGTTGTCTGTAGTTGGGAGTTGTTAGATATGCAGATTGCCAGGGCTCTCTCCTAGAAATTCTAATTCAGTAGGTCTAAGTTGGGACCCAGGGATCTATTTTTTTTTTTTTTTTAAATAAGGTTCCAAGTGTTTCTTATTTTCAGCCAAGTTTAGGAAACTGGCAATACATCTTTCTTTTTTGAGACAGAATTTCACTCTATTGCCTGGGCTAGAGTGCCGTGGTGTCAGCCTATCTCACAGCAACCTCAAACTCCTGGGCTCAAGTGATCTTCCTGTCTCAGCCTCCCAAGTAGCTGGGATTACAGGCACCTGCCACCATGCCTGGCTAATTTTTTTTTTTTTAATTTTTAGTTGTTTTGGCTAATTTCTTTCTATTTATAGTAGAGACAAGGTCTCACTCTTGCTCAGGCTGGTCTCGAATTCCTGAGCTCAAAAGATCCACCCGCCTCAACCTCCTAGAGTGCTAGGATTATAGGCGTGAGCCACTGCGCCTGGCTAATGCATCTTGACTTGGGTATAAGTCCAGTTCTAAGTCATGTAGCACTAATGGCTGTATGATTTGTGCCTCACTTACCCGTAGACAGCTAGAAAGACGGATTGTTCAAGGGCTCAGCAGCAGAGCTAAGCTCACTAGTGACTCGGGCTACCATAGAGCTCACCTTATTTCTTGTGCTTTGATTGGACCAAAAGCCACCTGACAGCAGTTGAATTTTAGGGGCAATAATCTGTATGTCTAGAACAATTTGGGAGTTTTTTTATGTTGTTTACCTTGGGAGGTTTGAAACTGATAATTGTTTTTAACCATGATGCTGTTGTCAGAGATAATTACTATGTTTTATGTATGTTAGAAAAATCATGGCTTATTGATAACTTTATACTTACTTTATTTTTTATGAATGCTCTAACATCCTGACATGTAGAAATGCAGAAATTTGTTTTACACTAAAGCAATTAGATGTCTTAAAATATTAATTCAAACTACTAAAAAGTACTAGAAGAAATAATAGCAAATGTTTTTTGAGTGCTTACTATGTGCCAGGCACTGTCTCAAGCACTTTTCAATACTGTATATTATTACTTAATCCTCACAACAATCCTATGAAGTAGGTGTTTTAGTATCCATTTTCCAGAGGAATTGACTGATGGAGAACAGAGAGGTTAAGTAACTTGCCCATTGTTTGTAGGATTTTTGTTTGTTTGCTGGCTTGTTTTAATTTGGAACCATCCTTAAATAACTTTTAGAAAATACTTATTTTCAAGATGTCTGGGTTTAATGAACCTTTGACTTATTTGACTGAATGATTCTTTATCATGAAAATTGGATTTCTTCTACCTTTTTCTCTTATAAAACAAATAAAATCTCTTCTCTAGTATATTTTAAGCAGGAATGCCAAGTGGCATATAGAAATCACTTTTTAGTCTAAGATGGAATGTTCATACGATGGAAGAATGTGACCATGTAATAAAAGCAAAGTGTTTATAGCCACTTTGAATATGTAGCCTTGATTCATCTAAGTAAAATTCATAGAGATATATATATATTTTTTACCCCAGAGCTTTGCTTTATAACTGCTACTAAGTTTTTAATATAAGGGATTTTGTGAGCACAGAATAAAATTCTGGCAGTTGTTGTATTTTAATTGATGTACAATATTCAAATTTTTAACATTCCCTGTTATAATATCTAGTTTTTTCTTGAGGCTTTAAGCTCAATCTATGCTTTTTTAAAAACAATACTTTCACTAGGCTTTCAGTTAATCTTTTTAAATTGTCAAATTAAATTCCCTGATATATTTTTAAAAACAACACCTAACAAAGTATATAATCAATCAAAAAATATAATCAACTAAACAAAACTTGTAAATCTAAATCTAATGAATCAGATTTATGAACTCAGTATACCTAATTCTCCTAAATGTCATACATTGTTTACAAACAACTTGTTAGAAATTTCATATTATAACAAGTCTAAGATAGCAGATTCTCTGAAAACATTTCAAATATCTTTAAAAAAACCCAAATTAACAGTTATTGCCAAAATTACCAAAAACATCTTTATCATAACCTATAGAAAATTTCTATTATAGGTTATGTTTATTTCTTTAACCTGTCATTTCTTCATCCCAAAACTATAAGTCTAATTATCTAACGAAGGGGACTAGAATTTCCATTTTCCAGCTTTCTACCACAACTTAGATTATGCATTTGGGATCAGGGCAGAAGAACTTTGTCTACCTGCCAACCAGAGTCTGCATTATTGAGCAGGCATCCCTGCCAACCTCCCTTTTTATTGTCAGGCTCTTGCTTGCCATTGTTAATAGGAGCTGAGTCTTTATGTAAATTTAACTGAACATTTATGTTTCAGTTTTTTGCAACCTGGTTCTTTTCCTAGAAATGATGCATCCCATAAGTTTTTCCTTTAGGTTACACTTCATCCCTGTTTTAATGGGATTTTCTCCATCCAAATATGTATATATTGTGTAACCTTTGGCATTAAAGCCTATTTGTGTTAATGGGGTTTTGACACCCTACTTAGGTTACAATCGTAACCCTTTCTCTTTTATAATTTTAATAGTTGCCTAATTGACCATCAGTCATTTTACTGACAATGATGATCAAGTTTAGTTTTTAACCCCTTTAAATTCACAAAGCCAAAATGATTTTTCTCTCCTAGGAATGCCAGAATCACCTCCGCAGATATGGAAATGTGAATCTGGAACTGGTGACTCGAATCATTAGAGATGGTGGCCCATGGGAAGATCCAGTGTTGCAAGCTGTTCTTAAAGCCCAGCCAGCATCTCAGGAGATAGGTACTTCAGGAGATTCAAAATCAAAACCAACATTTGTGAGAAGCAAACACAATTTTGTTTCCTAACTAGCGCAGTAATAGTGATTTATCTTTATTTTATAATACTGAATAATGGAGTGATGTATTCTCAAATGAACAATGTTTGTTATTCTAACCTGGCCCTAAGTGATTTTTGACACCAGACTAGGTATATGTATTAGGTCATTAAATATGAAATGTCCGATTTCAAATCAAAAGTTTATTATATCTCAAATAAGAAGCAATACAATCAATCAGAGTATGTACCTAAACTATTGACACACTTTTGCCATCTTTATACTTATAAAGATGCTACTTGTTTATGCCAGTAGCAAAGAAGCCTTGAGAGAAAGTGGCAATGAAATGGTGAAAGGTGTTTTCCACAGTGTGTTGAGAATTAAATATTTGTCCTTACAAGAAGTGGTCCAAAGCCTGGAAGAAGTGGTAGACAGTTGGTGCAGGGTCTGGTGAATATGGTAGATGATAGAGAGTTACCAAGTCCAGCTGCTGTAGTTTGAGCAGCATCGTTTGTGTGACATGTGGTCTTGCGAGGATTGGCCTGTCTCTATTGACCAATTTTGGCTGCTTTATCACAAGCATCTTCATCATTTTGTCCAACTGGTTACAGTAGACATCCACTGTAATCTGACCAGGTTTCATGAAGCTACAGTGGATAATACCAGCGCTGGACCACCACAAACACCATTAGCTTTTTTTGATGAATTTTTGGTGTTGGACTGTGTTTCTGCACTTCATGTTTAGTCAACCATTCTGCCAAATGCTTGCAGTTGTCAAAAAAAATCCATTTTTCATCATACATAATAACATGGTGTAGAAATGGTTCGCCTTTATGTCGTGACAGCAAAGAAAGGCAAGCTTCAAGACGATTTCTCTTCTGATGCTCATTGATGCTCATTTAATTCATGTGATATCCATCTATCCAGCTTCTTTAGCTTGTCCATTTGTTTCAAATGGTCCAATATTGTTGGAATAGTAATGTCAAACCTTGCTGCTAATTCATATGTACGTTGAGATGAATTTGCTTCCCCTACAGCTCTCAGCTCATCATTATCCACCTTGGTCTCAGGTTACCCATGTGGCTCATTTTCAAGATTAAAATCACCAGAACAGAATTTCTCAAACCGTAGCTATATTATATGTTCATTAGCCACATTCATTAGTTAACTAATTTGTTCATTAGTTCTTTCCCACTTTGTTGATATTTCCAGCTCTCTGCACTGCATTGGTTCCACAATGGAACTCCTATTTGAAAATAACATGAATTTTTTACTTATCCATCGTTTCACAAAAATTGCTCTAAAAAAACAATTTTGAAAGATAATCACAAGCCACACCATATGTTTGAAAGACTGAGGATGCACTCTCACAGTATTAAAAAAAAAACAAACCTAAGAAGTATCAAAGTGAAATACCAGAGATATCAACTGTCAAACTTAGTACTTAAGGAAACTGGACATTCCATACTTAATAACCTGACATTTCTAGTAATGAAATTTCAGAGTCTTAATACATTTGCTAGATGTTACTTATTTATAGGGAGTTTTTATTTGTCACTTGAGGCATATTTTTTAAATCTTCTTAAGTAGGGACACCCTTGTTTAAAAAACACACAAACTCTGTTTCTGGTGAAAACACATGGAATTTCCCTTACATATGAAACTCCATAAGGGCTGGAACTCTGAATTTTGTCACCCACTGCTGCATATCCTACAGGTAGCCCCAGTGCCTGGTACAGAGTAGGTGGTTACTATAAATATTTACTGATTGAATGAATGACCACGATGAATGCACGAGTGAGTGAGTGACTAACTGAATGAATACATTTTAATTTCAAATACACTAGAGCAGTATTTCCCAAACTTCATCCACTAAGAGAAGTTTTGTCTCATTTCCTTAGTACCTACATACATACTTTGTATCACCTCCTATCAAACCTGTATCCACACTGGTCCCTTGTGGGCCAAAATCTCTTTTTGAGGCAGGAGGCTCTATCAACTGCTTCTAGTTAATTCTTTTCTCATATTCTTAAGCCCCAGGATACTCTGGATCACCAAAACTGAGAATGTAAGCTCAGCAGTAGTGAATAAACACAAAAGTGTGGGAAACATTTGAAAATGCAGAGAGCCTATGGATTGCATTTATAAGACGGCCAAAGGGAAAAGACGAGACCTCCCAACCCTGGAACCAGTTAGACCTTCGTCTGATGAAAAAGACACTTCACACCACAGATTGTGTTGAGCAGATTGGGATATTTTCTATTAGTCCTGGAGATAATGGGTGGAGTTGGGTTGTGAGTGCAGTTGAGTGGAATAGGAGCTATGATTCTCGGGCTTAGAAGCAAACTGATACTAGATACAAGTGTGGAGGACTATAATAGAAATGTGATTGAAAGTGAAGATAGCTAGGAGAAGCAGTGCAAAGTTGTGGGATGGGATGGGAGGTGGGACAGGATTAGGAGGATAGGTCTAAGGTATATGGAACAGTGATATGAGGAATCTAAGGGATAGAAAGGAGACTGGTGCTTAGATGTGTAGTTCTTGGAAAGGGATAAAAAACTGAAGAGGGGCTGGGTGTGGTGGCTCATACCTATAATCATAGCACTTTGGGAGATTGAGGTAGGAAGATTTTCCTGAAGCTAAGAGTTAAAAGATCAGCCTATACAACAAGGTGAGACCCTGTCTCTCCAAAAAACTAAAAAAAAAAAAAGCCAGGTGTGTTGGTGAACGCCTGTAGTCTCAGCTACTTGGGAGGCTGTGGAAGGAGGATTGCTTGAGGCCAGGAGTTTGAGGCTGTAGTAAGCTATGATTGTGCCACTGTACTCTAGCCTGGGTGACAGAGCAAGACTCTGTCTAAAAAAAAAGCTGAAGTAGGAGACAGTTGGAGCTGAGGAGGAAAGTTGGAGTTGGATTATTGAGGAAAAGTATGAAGAGTTGAATATAGGAAAGGTAAGGGTGACCGACTAGAGGAGACTGGTAAATATGGCCAGAGGGGGCAGGAACTAGATAAAGACAGAGGTTCAAAAGGAGTGAGGACAGAGGAGAAGAAAGCTTTTAGCGGAGCTTTTATGCTTTCCACAGAACATACCTGCTGTTGATTGGTCTGAGGGCTGATGGCCTTTTAGGCTGGAGTTATGTTAGAATAATAAATATAATAAATACTCCTTTTATACCTCTGCTAGCATAGCTCACTTTGGGAAAAGCTGCTCTAAAACTGCATTAATATGGTAACCCTTCTCTGGTTGATAACCACATAAATCAGTGTTTGCTTATCATATGCTTTAAACAGAATTGCAAGACAAATGTTTAAGCCAAAATAAAACATTATTCATAATCACTTTAGAAGCTACTGATGAAACATGTAAGTAATTAAAACACTTTTGGATTAAAAATCATAAAATAAGGGTTCCAGTTCCTGCTCTGCCACTGAATTCTTTGTCTTTGGGCAAGTCATTTGACCTCTCTGATATTCATTTTTATGATCTGTAAAGCAAGTATCATAATACCTGTCATAAGATTGTTGTTAGGTCTGAATAAATTTATGTAGCTAAAGGTGTTTATATATTTTTAAATTACATAAAAGTATTAATTAGTAAATCCTTAGTGATAAATGGACATATATTAATAAGCAGTCCTTTTTGGCATTACTTTTAGATTAATTTTATTTTTAAGACTAATAAAATATATTTCTTTTATGATTCAGCTTTTTCATTGATTCAGATTACATTTTTCTTTAATTAATGTGAATTAATGTGGTTTTAATATGATAAATTAGGATTCAGCGTTTCTTTTTTTTTTTTTTTTTTTTTTTTTTCACAGAGTCTTGCTCTGTCACTCCAGGTAGAGTGCAATGGTAGAGTGTAGTAGCATCATCACAGCCCACTTGCAACTTCAAACTCCTGGGCTGAAGTAGTCCTCCTGCCTCAGCCTCCCGAGTAGCTGGGACTACACAGCCATGTGCTACCATGGCCAGCTAATTTTTTCTATTTTTGGTAGATATGTGATCTCAAACTCTTGACTTCAAGCGATCCCCTCACCTCAGCATCCCAGAGTGCTAGGATTACAGGCATGAATTACAGCCACCTTACCAGGCCAGGATTCACCCTTTTAATGAAAATATAGGGTAGTAAGAAGATGTGGTATGTAATCTTAGACTAAAAAGACATCATAGACTCATGTTACTTGGAACATATTTTAACATTAATGAACTAAAGAAGAAAATTTCCTTTTTTTAAAATCTTGTTTCCATTTTTGTTAATTACTGAGACAAAATCAACAAATAATTTATTTCTTGAGCATACTGTTTTGGTGTCACTGTTGTTTTCATTTTTCCAACCAAATAACTTAACAGTCTTTTCACAAATAAACTACTAAGGAAAATGTTATTTAATTAAATAACTAGTTAATCTAATTAGATACCATATTTTAGTGGTAAAGTTTCAAGCAACAAAGTTTGAGAAAATCTTTTATTGAGAGTAAGAGTCTGTTTTCTTTTTATTTTTTATTTTTATTTTTTTTTGTTTTCTTTTTAATATAGTGAACAAATATTTGAGTTCTGAAAATCCACTGTTCTTTGAACTACGTGCCAGATACCTAATTGCTTGTGAACGCATACCCGAAGCAATGGCTCTTATTAAGTCTTGTATAAATCACCCAGAAATCAGTAAAGACTTGTACTTCCATCAAGCATTCTTCACATGTCTGTTTATGTCACCTGTAGAAGATCAGCTATTCCGGGAGGTATTGTTTGAAACTATTTTTGCCTATTACCATTTTAACCTTACTAAAAGAAAGTAGCCCAATGCTGTTGTTATATTCTTTTTACAGTAATACCAAAGATTTAAGGATTACATTATCTAGATTTGTTCTCTTTTGGCACCATACTTTAAGGTCACATTGACTTAGAATATGATATTAACAATGATGAAATTAATAAAATATACTCACCAATAAGCATTATTCATGTTGAGCTTTTATTGTGACAGAGAAGAGGTCAAATAAAAACTGATAAGTATTATGATTTTGCCTTTTAAATAGAGTACTAAGAAGTTAAATGCACATGTTTATTTTGTTTTTGTTGCTATACAGTGAAACTATGAAACCATGAAAATATTTCTGTACAATCATTGTTTTTATAGAAAAATAGAAATCTAAATAATTTCTTCTGAATGTTTAAACACTTATTGTAACTAGCTTTTTAAGATATTTTTTAATGATATGAACTGATTTTTCTTTTTCTCTGACAGCATTTATTGAAAACTGATTGTAAGAGTGGAATCGATATCATCTGTAATACTGAAAAAGAAGGAAAGACTATGTTAGCTTTGCAACTCTGTGAATCTTTTCTTATTCCACAGCTCCAGAATGGGGACATGTACTGTATCTGGTAAGTGTTCCTAAAACAGAAATTGAAATGGTAAGATGAGCAACAAAAGGAGAATTGGCTAGCAGAGTTTGGAATGCTTTTTAATTGTATGATAATAGTAAGCTATTTTTTTTAACAAATTTATTGTACAAGGAACAATAGATTTTTTAAGAACTAGAGATTTTAAAAAGAAAATTATCATGTACCACTAATTGATAGTGTACATGTTTAAGATATGTATTACAATGAAACAATTATGTTTGAAATTAAATTTTAAATTTGAAGTTTGAGTTTTTAAAAACATTTTTAAGACTATTTAAAACTTGCTAGTAGGATATATGAAGCCAGCAATTTTACCTAACAATCATGTAATTTAAAATATGGTACTAAAAACACTCTTCAAGTGCTACTAAGAACTTCTGCTTCTTCTCCTCCAGTAAACAACTATATACACAAACACACACACAAAAAAACCCTAGTAGCACTTTACCATTTCATTAATTAAAGTAGGTTACATTGCTGAACATAATAATCTGAAATGATCATGAGCTATAAACATTTTTTAAATCAATGCTTTCAAATTTTAAATTCTTAAATACAACAATAGCTTGAAGGCATATAGCTCCAAATCATACTTAAATATTCTTTTTATAGATTGAAATCTCCAGAGTCAGAGATAGAGTAAAACAGCTAATTAGTAGCAGAGCTGTGTCTAGAAACAAGTAAATTCTTCTAGGGGAATACAGTATACTTTCAGTTAGATTATGCTAATTTTTATTCAAAACTGTACCATGTAAATTGCAATTTCAAATAGAGAAAGGGCTTAGGAAGCAGTAGTCAAACATAGTTTTTAGTACAGTCATGCATTGCTTAAGGACAGGGATTTGTTCTGAGAAATGTGGTGTCAGGCAATTTTGTCATTGTACAAACATCATAGAGTGTACTTACACAAACCTACATGGTGTTTATAGCCTGCCAAACACCTAGGCTATATGATATGGCCTACTGTTCCTAGGCTCCAAACCTATACAGGATATTACTATACTGAATACTATAGGCAACTGTAACATAATAGTAAATATTAGTGCATCTAAACCTAGAAAAGGTATAGAAAAATATGGTATTATATAATCCTACTGGACCACTATAATATATGTAGTCCACCATTGACTAAAATATTATTTTGCAGCACATGACTGTATAATTTTTTAATATGTGATTATTCCAAAATTGAATATAGTCATGATTGCTGTAGTAGATCTTTCCTATGGGGATAAGAATGTTCTCTGCCCTTAACTCTATCAAACTATTTAAACAGGGTATCTTTAGTCTTTTCATTTTAATATAAATAGCTGGAATCAAGTATAAACAACAGCAAAAAAAAAAAAAAAAAAAAAACCCAAAAAATACATTTTATTTTCTTATTCTCTTGGCCAACCCGTTTCTACTCTTTAGGAACCTTAAAAATATTACAGTGCCTATCTTCCAGCTCCTGGCTACAGAAACCCAATTTGAATAGAAGGTTGGTATGTGACTACAGCTGCCCAACCTAAAAGGAGTTTAGCCTTTTTTGGGCCTTCCTTCTGAGCAGCCTTGGTTTGGTGGCCTGCCCTCTTATTTCTTCTTTCTCATCTTTATATTTCTGAATGCTAGGTCTTTTTCATGCTTCTAAAGTTGATTTTTAGCGTAATTTGAAGAGCAGGATGCTTTTCAGCCTGCAGGGTCAGTGTTGTCTATTTTATCCTAGCCTCCTTGTGAGCCAGCTTGCTATTCATCTCTCTTTCTGTGGGCAGAACCAGATTCACAGTCCAGTTTTGCTTTATCTCAAGCCATTGAGGCAAGCAAGCTGCTAACCCTATTTCTCTTTCACCATCACTAATAATAATGGTAGCTGCTAACATTGCTGAGTTAGCTTTTATGCTTTATGTGTGCATTATTTCATTTACTGCAACCATCTTATGAAACAGATAATTTGTGCTCAAGCCATTCAGCTAGTAAACAGTGAGTCATGATTCAAACCTAGGAAGCCTGACTCACAGCCTCTGCTGTTAAACATCACTTATATAATGTGTCAAGTTGGAAAAAAATCTGTCTTATAAAGGTGACTGTTGACCCTGTTCTTTTTCTTAGGAACTAGATAACTTGATTAGTAGTTAATAGAGTCCTTTATTACTACCTGGGAAATGTTTTCTATACACTGAATCCAGGTACTATGTCTTCTAAAGGACCCACCGACTAAGAAAGCATATAAGCTTTATTAATCCTGACCTCTTGGTCTTCTAAAAGACTACTGGTGGATTTCAGATTTTTTGTTTTCATAAAATCTAATGTACAAGTAAACCTGAGATCCCATGTTGTAAATTCAGTCAAAATGGACTTCATAACCATGTCCTAAGATTTCTTCTTTGCCTGCCCAAAAGCTAAAATCCTTAATAATAGCCCTCTCCTAGGAAACTTTTTAGGATCTGGGATATACATTTTGTTTCCTAAGTTTTCCCGACTTAACAGAGACAAAAAGGAAATAAGATCTCTGTCTTAAAAAAACACAAAAACCTCATTTTGTACCCTAAGAATATTGTAAGGAGTCTCAATTATTTTTTGGAACAAGTTTCAAATGAACATATACATTTCTAATATGTTAAATATTCACTTGTGTAATATTGAATGACATCTCTCCTCTGATTTCCAACTAGCATTGTTTTTAAATCTGTTGCAGAGATATGCCACATCTCCTTAAATATAGTTGATCTGTTTGTCTTCTTCCATCAATATGCATTTTTTCATAAATACCCTTATTTAGAATGCCTACCATCATCTTTTATTCCATTCCATGGTGCATTTTCCCTAAATTTCTCTTCAAGAGGCTTCCTCTAAATGCTTTCAGGATCAGGAATATATTTGCCAGGTTATCACTAACATATTTATTTATAAATCTTACTGCTTAGTACTATGAGGATTACAAAGACAAAGAATAAATACAGGAAACTTTGATTTATTAAACATCACTATATGCAAGACATTTTACTTAGGTGTTTTACTTCTCTCTTAAGTCTTTTAATAAAGATGTTGAACAGGAATAATGCCAACTTTTAGGTATAAGACAGCCGTACATGAACGATAAAAGTCACACAGCTAGTACAAAATGGAGTTGTAATTTATTCTAGTCAATCTGCAAGTCATTGCATCTGTGCCTAACTAGTATAGGGAAAAAGTATTTTTGAAAGGTACTGGGGTGGACAGATCACGGGAAGGCGAGGATACAGGTTGTCTTCAAAGATAACTGCTACTTGGGACACTGGGATTGCTAATGTTTTTCAAATCTGTTTCTTTTTTCTGTCATTGGCTTCAGTCTCTCCTGATGCAGACCAGCAGGAATACCAGCATTCCCAAACTCATAGTTAGAGTTGAGAACATGCTAGGGACTCTGGCTTGACTGGGGTCAGTTTCCTGCCCTGAATTAATATCTTAAGTAGAAGGAGAGGGTCACATAAGAGACCACCATTGGGTTTCACTCTGTCTATTAGTTAATTCTCAGAAAAAGCTGCTCACTATGAACTGGTAGTACCACTCCAATTAGCATATAGCTGTATTGAGATTTAGGCTCTCGTATTCCCAATCCCAGTGTTCTTCCACTGCTTCCACTATACAGTGTATCATTGAGGATATTATAATGTTTAATAGTTGGGGAATAGGACCTATAAATATAAACAGGAAGCATAAAAAAGGCATGGAATCAATAAGAGATAAGGTCTATTTTGAAGTAGGTATCACTTGGGGTACTCATGAAGGCTTTCATGAAGAAGGGATACTTGATACGGCCTATGAGATAAATTCATCTTAGAAATGAAGAAATACTTTCAAGTAGACCAACAGCATAAACAAAGTGAATAAATGAAACATTTTAACTGACAGTAAGGAGACCATCCTTAAAAGATGATTTAAGATTCAAATCCTGAACCTTCCAACTTGAACCCATGTTTATATTGCTATTAATACCATACAGTATATTGAATAAACACTAAATGAAATGATCAGGGGAGCTAGAAATAGATCAGGTTATTAACTGCTGTAGAAATGTGTAAAATTAAAGGGCCTAGATGGTAACATTGAGAAGAATGACATAGCTGAGAGTGATGCATAACTGATTGATAAAGGGACAATGAATGGAACATAAAATGTTAGGAGCCACATCGCACGCCGATGCTGTGCACGATCTATCTCACTGATCTAGAAACATTCTATGTCTGTAATGCGCATAGACTGCACGTCATAATTCAGCGAGCAGATATGCAGAAGTCTCAAAGATCGCGTAAGTGTGTCAAGGTGTATGTAATCTATAATAATAACCACAAAATGCTAGGCATGAATGTGAAGTGGGTGGTACCATGAGCTGAGTGCGCCAATAGTGAAAGTGCTACCCT